ATCAAATCTCAGTATTTAGCATATTCATCATCTCCTATAGTTATCATTTCTTTGTGGTAAGTACATTCAAAATCTCCTCTAGCTGTTTTGAGAGATTTGTTACAGTATTGTCACCGTAATCAGCATATTTGCCACAGAACACCAGCATTTATTCTTTCTAACTGTAACTTTGTACCCATTGATTAGTCTTTCCCCATCTTCCTTTGTCCTTTACCATCCCCAGCCTCTGGTAATCACTCTTCTGTTTTCTACTTCTATAAGATGAACGTCTTTAGATATCACATGTGAGTGAGATAATTAAACCCAGAAAAATGCATGATTTATTCTCATTAGAAGAGAATGCCTTTATAAAAATAGTAAGCAAGGGGTTGTGGTAGTAAGAGTATTAGAGACACCATATCCAGTACCCACAATCTAAAGGAGGAGAGAATTAATTTTTCTGCCAATGTCTGGGGATTTAGTCCATGCTCAACTGGCTGTAAAGCAGAATATCATGGCAAAAGGGCATAGCAAAGCAAAGCTGTTTAATTCATGACCTCCAGGAAGCAGAGTAAGAGAATATTGCCAGAGAGGAAGGGATGAAGGATCAGATATAGACCCAAAAGCCAAGCCTTTGTGACCCACCCAGGCAAACCCACTGGTGTACTCCACCAAATCCCCAGGTGGATCCCAAAGTAAATTGGTTTGACTACCACAGTGAGCATTCTTCAAAGGTGTGATATATAATAAGAAGAAAACCCCCAGCCTTTGAAAACATAAATAGGAATGTTCTTAATCTAAATGATTTTTCCATGGAAATAATGTTCTGACTCAAAGAATAAATAGTAATTATTCATTCTTTATTCATTCAGACAAAGGAGAGGAGAGGTGTTCCTACCAAAGGAACTCTTTTACGAAGGCCCAGTGCATTAAGGAAGCATCACACACACCACAACTCAGTGATGGAACATGGAGACTGAGGAGAGTAGAAGGGGAGTGGGAATTCAGAGACTAGAATTTGGTAGGAAACTTTGGTAAGGATTTTTCTGTACCCTAAGAACAATGGGAAATCATTCAAGTACATGTTCTAAGTGGATCATTGATATAGATCAGGTGTGCATTTTAAAGATTCTTCTTAGAGCAATGGGGAAAGGGTGAAGTGGAGAAAGTAGTTTTATGATTTGTTGTGGCAAGGGATGTTTAGAAGTTGAATGAGTATGACTGAAGAGAATAAGGAAAGATACAAGATCTACTTAGTAGACAGTGTGCTCTGGAGTTGGCAGATGTTAGGGGTAGGAGAAAGTTGTCACAGGTGACTTCCAGACTTCTGCCATCTACAACATTTGCCACGGTCAAACAAAAAACTAAAGGCATACAGGTGGCCATTAGTTCAGTTTTGGAACTCTTAAATACAGGCAGTTTTGGAGAGTTTGAGAGAGAAAAAGGAGGCAAAAGCTAGAGGGCAGTGTGAGTGAGGCAGAAGGTTTTAAAATGTGTGAAAAACTAAAGGCATACAGGTGGCCATTAGTTTAGTTTTGGAACTCTTAAATACAGGCAGTTTTGGAGAGTTTGAGAGAGAAAAAGGAGGCAAAAGCTAGAGGGCAGTGTGAGCGAGGCAGAAGGTTTTAAAATGTGTGAGAGGTCTGTACTTGTTTAAATACCAAAGAAAGGGAAGGACCTGGTAGAGAAGTTTCAGAGTTGTCAAAAAGGAGGGAGATTAAATCAAGGGGACAAGTCCTTAAAAAGAGCTATAAAGAGCATACCTCAGTAAAAGGTCTTAAATAAGAGGTACAATACCTCTAGGGTTTTAACAATAGGAAGTAAGGAGAGGGCTGTGTAACTGTAGTAAGTCCTTAGTAAGTGGGAATTACTTTCTCTTGAGGTATGTGGTTGTCATTTGGCAATGAGAAAGAGGAACAGCAATCAGCAGCTTGAGAATGAAAGTCAGATTTGGAAGAAAACAGCAAAGTAAACTGCGTGGTTACTGATTATCATTATAACCTTAAATAATGGCATTGTTGTTCTAAGGCTTAACTATCCTGAATGTTGGGGGATTGCAGTTTGCAGCTGCTGTATAGCTTTATGGTAATACATGATTTCAGTTATCTCTTACTATGTTGGTTAGTTTCTAACTGATTATTTTTTTCCTTATCTAGGCAGGCAGAAGTCCTGAAGGCTGACATGACAGGTATCGGCTGACTTATTTCTTTTTCACAACTTATATAATACCATTAGATTAAGGGAAAGATATTCTCTTTCTATATTACTTAGAGCACAAAATCCTATCCTAGTTGCTAAAAGAGATAATTTATTTGCTTCAAAAATATTTGTTGCTTACAGTCAGGGAGGTTGTTGAGATGTCTTCCTCAACTTCTAGAACCACAGGCCAATGTAAGAGATCCTGTCATTGTAAGAGATCTTACTGTCATTGTGCTAAAGGTACAAAGAAGCTAATTATAAATTTACTTAGTATAGAATACCTTGGTTCTTACTGTTGAACAAATTTGTCGTGATCATCTGTATTGTTTATTTCAGTGTCAGGTTTGAGCTACTACTGTTGCTCTCGAAATGGCATTCCAAGTGCAATTTGTGTCATGTAACAAAAACGGTACATAGAGCAACATTAGGCTACCTATGACATGTGCTTTTTCTTAACTGTTGAACACCCTCATAAGTAGTTTTAGAGTTGGGCTTTTATAGGGGACTTTTGGATGGCCAGAAACTTTAGGATGTTAAGTGTATTCATGTAAGTGACAGTCTATCTGATAGATAATCTGTCTGATAGGTCAGAGTTAAACACGAGTGAAGAATACATGGTTTTTAGCAACAGACTTCGTAAGTGACTTCAATTAGTTTAACTGGTTGGAAATATATACTGTAATTGAAAAGCCCATTACTAAGTTCATCTATATAGTCATTTTACTGTGAGTTACTGAACTGCTCAAGAAGCCATCAAGGTTAATATTCTTTAGAGGACTTGGGCAGACAGTAGTAGACAGTATAACCCCAATTTTATAATGTGTATAGTGAGGGTCTAACTTCCTGATGTTATTCTACACCTGGTCTCTTGTCTGGCTGCCAGAGCAATTTAGTCCCATTCTTATGTGAGCCTTCTTTTACATGAAATTGCAAGTTGAATTGCCACAAAAAATGTTAGCAGTATATCATCATTAAAATGGCTCTCACTGTCATGGCTTTATTGGGTTGACATATATAGAATAGGGCAATACCCAAGCAATTGCTAGTGTTCTGGTGTGAAAATTCTGTAAGGACATTTGTGGAAAGTATTAAAAATAAATAAATTTTATTTGAAATGAAAAGGGAAAAGCTGTTTTGGGCAAAATAATATAGTTTGGTTAAAAAATTTGGTAGTCCATTATTTCAGTGAAGTGACTTACTGTGAGACATATGGATGCCTAGGATAGGAAGAGACAGAAATCTAAATCAAAAGCAAAGCGTAAATCTTGTGTGTGTGTGTGTGTGTGTGTGTGTGTGTGTGTGTGTGTGTGTGTGTGTTTGATGTTATTTCAAAGCTGAAAGACTTGAGATACAACATCATTTTAAACCAGATTTAATCATTAGCCAAAAGATGAAAGTAATTTAATATAAAACTTGTGCAGCAGTCTATGGAATATACTTAAGAGCAGATTTACTTTGGGGAGTGAAGAGGAAAGGAATCATTGGTGTGCTGTATGTATTAAGCTGTTTATCCATGTGTTGTTTTTGTTCTGTTACTCAGATTCTAAGCTGGGTCCAGCTGAGGTCTGGACATCCAGGCAGGCTCTGCAGGACCTGTACCAGAAAATGCTAGTTACTGATTTGGAATATGCTCTAGACAAGAAAGTAGAACAAGATCTGTAAGTATTATCGTTTGGGATGTTCCTGTAAGATCAAGCATCTCACCACAACTTTAAAATTGGTTGGTTGCTTGGTTGTTTCTTATCCTACTCCAGAGCAAACTTTTTCAATAGAAAGGGGCTCTAATAGTTATTCTTTTTTTAAAACAAAATATTTGGTCCTTGGTATTTCAGATACAATCTTTGAAGGTAAGAGGAGAATGTTTGTTAAGGGCAGCTCTTTTAAGGCACATCCAAAAAGCACGTATCTTGTCTTAGGTATTAAGAATATTTGGTTCTTAGGCCATGCGTGGTGGCACACACCTGTAACCTCAGCACTTGGGAGGCCGAGGCAGGAGGTTTGCTGTGAGTTCGAGACCAGGCTGGAGTACATAGTGAGTTCCAGGTCAGTCTCAACTACATAGTGAGACCCTGTCTCAAAAAAAAGAGAATATTTGGTTCTCTCTGTGTAGTCCTGCATTTGAACCTGACTTTTTAAGTTTTTTAGAAAAATATTTTCTTTGGTAAATATGATTCTGTAAATTTCTCCAACAGAAAAATATATTTGCATTTTAAGGAAAGTTCTTTTTAATCAAATAAATTTTTTCTTTTCCTCCCAATAAAATTAAAGAAAGATTTTGTGTATTTAGGTTACTCCATTCTTTCTAGAAAGGGTGAAAATGGAAGATAACAAGATTCCCAAGTGAGTAAATAAATGCCTTTAACAAAAAAGCTTTGCCTATAAATTGGAATAGGAACGTTAGTGTGATGGAAATCAGTGACAAATATTCTGTCTTGTATTGCCCATCCCTACATTGCAGTGGATATTAGTTTTTTTTTCCCTATCTTCCACACCATTATATGCTTTATATTTTTAGGAAATCTAATTATAATAAGTCCCATAAAACATTAGAGTTGCAAACTTTCACAGGTGTACTGTGTAAGATACAACTTTGTCAGATTACAACAAATCAGACTTAGGAACATTCCCCCAGAAGGGAATTCTTTTGTAAGTCAAGGACTTAAAACAGTCAATCAGTATCATAGCTGAGATACTAGAATGAAGGACAAGATGTCATCAGTGGTATTAGAGTGACTGAACTTCTAAATCATTAAAAACCTGGTACTCTAGAGCTTCACAAGTTGATGTTAATTTTTTGGGGGGGTACTGAGGATTGAACTCGGGTCCTTGTGCTTGCAAGGCAGGTAGTGGAACCTCTGAGCTAAATCCTCAGCCAAGTTGATGTTAATAATTAGGAACATACTAGGTAGACTGGAAAACCTTTGTCTGTGTTTGCTTTTCTCTTCCTCTCCTCTCTCCCATGATTTTCAAGACAGAGAATGACTATTTTTCACAAAAACTGAATTTAAAGATTCTAAACCTACTTTTATTAATGAAAGCCATTTATAACAGGATTTTGATGCCATAATCAGCATTGTGTTGTTTATCTTAAATAGACAAAATTAAAATGTGGCTTATATTTCATAATGTAAAGAAATCCTTAATCCTAAGAGAAATAAAACTATTAGGGATGAAATTGCATGCTATGTAAAATAACTTTTGGGAAAATAAAGAAACATAGGTGAACATGTCCCTTCTGGACCCATGTCACTTGCTAGATTAGAATTATTTTTGGCACAATGTATGGAAATTTGTTAATAGCTTATTTTTATTTTGATCTTGCCACTATAGTTCTCCGAACTGGGATTCTTAAATATACTAACCCTAACTCGAGTAACTCCAAAAGATTAATAGCTAAATTCAAATGTGATTATTCAAACATTTAGTAAATGTTTAGTAAGGTCTATTGGGTTCTTCTGCATGTCTAGTCTTATTCAAAGGGGAGCATAAAGTTATTTTAAATAAATGAATAACTTGAATGTAGGTTTACTGTCTAGCATGATATAACAAACAGTTCTTTCTTGTTCTCAGGGGGATCAGTGTCTGCCCAATGAGTCACTGCTAAACCAAATAGAATTACATTTTGTTTTCAGCTGGAATCATGCCTTTAAGAATCAGATCACAACACTACAAGGCCAAGCAAAGAATCGAGCAAACCCAAATCGGAGTGAAGTTCAGGCAAACCTTTCTCTGTTCTTAGAGGCAGCTAGTGGCTTCTATACTCAGGTGAGTTCTGCATTATATAATAGTTTTCCTAATATTAGTGGTAAATATTCTGCTTTTTGTACATATCTTTATTTCATATGTACTTTTGTATAACCACTATTTGCTCCATCCAGAGGTTGATCCTATAATCTCAAGTGAATATAAAATTATTTACCACAAGACCTTTAAAAAAAAAATAAATGAATACTTGACTCTCAGGTTGATGTTTTGTTTTTGTTTGGGTTTTTTTGGTACCAGAGATCAAACTCAGGACCTTGTGCTTGCAAGGCAGGTGGCAGCACCACTGAGTTAAATCCCTGGCCCCTCATGTTTTGTTTCATAGGTTGAAGGTATAACTGTATGAATAGAAAAAGGGTTAGTGACAGCAAACCATTAGTGAAATAGTGTAAGTCAGTTACAAATGGCATTATTAACAGCTTGGCATTGTGGCTCACTCTTGTAATCCCAGCACTCTGTAGGCTAAGACAGAAGGATTGCATGCGTTGGAGGCCAGCCTGAATTACATAGCAAAACTTTGTCTCAAAAAAAAGTAGCAGCTGTATTGTACCAGGAAAGAAATAGTTAAAATTTGTAATATCAAGTGAACTTTCTGCATATTATTTATATTGTAGAATTTATTGTGACCTTGAAATGTTTTTAAACTACCTAAATGATGGAGCAGCTTTTCCTCAGTTTAAATAATAAGCTATTATCATTGTCACAGATTTTCTCTTCCTATTACATCCTCATACAACTTCTATATCAGTCATGGTAAAGGCTTGAATAAATCTTTCTGACCATAGAATTTTCTTTAAGCATAATATTTAGAAAATTCCCATTTCATTTATTTGTAATTTAAGTATAAATTAAATATATAAGTTTTATATATAAATTAACATCTTATAATAAATAAGGTTTTCAGGCTCTTATATTTGAACTTTGGCCAGTTCTTCCTATGCTGCTTGTCACCTACTATATTTTTGTTTTATTCTTGTTTTACCATTTCTTTAAGTGAAGAAAAAATAATCTCTATTGGAAGATATGAAATAGCTGTCTCAGAGATTATTTATACTTTATTTAGACCAAAGAATGTTCATCATTGAAATCACTAAAGTACAGTTCTTATTTCAATATTCATCTTCAAATTTATGCCACGTGTTAGCAGTGTAAGTTGATACTTTGGAGAGGTTTTACTTTCACTGGTGTACCAATAAGTAAATGTTAAAAGCTTACTCATTCTACATGTGTCTATCAAAAACCCACTGTTTCTAAGGTACCATATGAGACATAATATTTATCTTCCAGGAAATATCTAGTGTACATGAAAAGATGGGTACAGTATAGATGTCTTATTTCCTGACTGTAAAAATAATGCATACTAATTTCAAGTAACTTCAAATTTGTACAAAGTCTAAAACTTTTTTTATTAATTCCCCCACTCAGGATAAATCACTGCATCATCGCTGTTTTTGTTGTTGTTACTCAGGGCCTCACACATGCTAGGCAAGTGCTTTGTTCCTGCGCTATATTCCGTCCTTTTTAAATTTTATTTTGAGAGAATCTTCCTGGGTTGCCTAAGCTGGACTTGAACTTTAATCCTTTTTCCCTAACCTCCCAAGTAGCATTATAAACATAATAAAAGTTTTTGCTTGTTAAACAGTTTAAAGCATTTTCTCTAATACTGAAATATTTCCTGAGGACCAGTTCTTTAAGTTGAAATTATTAGATTAGTAAAAGCTTAAATATTGTGTATAGATATTATTGTTTCCCCAAAAGGTCATTTATAACGTTTTTGGTTAATTTCTCCTATTGTGCCTTTATTTAGAGTTTTGAAGTATAAAATTATCACAGGTTTTCTTATACTACATGTTTTTCCTTTGTGTATAACTCAGTGTTTTATAATGATAATAATCACTTCTGAAGGAGCAAGTGGACTTTATAATTCAAATTTTAGTAGAGGCCATAAATTAAACAATTTATGACATAACTATAAAAGGGAAATACGAAACTTAAAAATCATGAAGTCTTTTAAGATGAGAAAAATATCTACTATAATTAAGTGAAAAATAATGATATAAAAGTATAATAAGCTCTAGCCTTCAGAACATCTAGTACTACCATATAATGAAATAACTTCTTACCTCTGCCATCCACCTATATTTAGGAAACTACTACCAAGTAAATATGCATCAGAGTAAACCTAGATAGATGTAGGCTATAGTTTTGATAGAATAATTGCCAAACATAGTTTTAATTTGTGAACTACACGATCTCTTCTTGGGTTCTACTTTGTTATTCCCTTAAATTAAACAAAATGGTGCTCAGTTTTCAGAGAAGCTTTTTTTCTCTGATATTCTTACAGCTCATGGCTCTAGGCAGTAACAGCCATTCTATGTGTTCAGACCATGTTTGATTTACTTCTTGTAGTCATTCTTTTTTCTTCTTGCTAGATATTCGATATTCAGCTTTACTTAGGTTTCTGTTCTGTTCTCTCAGGATCTGTTGATCCCAATTCTCCTCCTCCTCCTCCTCCCTTTTTTTTCACTTTTAGGTTTTTTTTTTTTTTAATTGTTTTGCTGTTCTTTATGCCTTTTCTGTTTTCTAATTAACTTTTGGCTTTTACTTGTTAAACTGATTTTATGTCAGCAAAATTTTTTTCCCTTTACAGATGTATAGGCACAAGGAAAATAGAATAGATAATTCTTGTGCTTAATAAGGGTACAGGGGATTTATATTGTTATCAAAGTAGTTTTTATGTTAGAAAAAAGATAGTGCCTTTTGGTTTCTTTTGAGTTGGATCCTTGAGGTGTTATATAGTATTTTTCATTGTGAATTTTGTAAATATTAGAAAAAAATGATAGGATCAAAATTTTTCTAATTCTGTAACCTTAGTCAAATGACTTGCTACTTCCTGTTGCTTTCATTTCCTCATCTGAAAAAAGTGGAACTTTATACCTATGTACACTGTGTTTCTTCTACTTTATCACAAGGATAGAACTGGACAAATTAGGGAATGAAGTTTATTATAAATCTAGAATATTCTTTTGGTTTTTGGTGGGGGGTAATGGGGATTGAACTCAGGACCTTGTGCTTGCAAAGCAAGCAGTGGTACCACTTAGCTAAATTCCTGGCCCAAATCTAGAATATTTTGCTGGCTTATGCTGTGTGTCATGATTCCTCTCCTCTCCTCTTACCTATGTCTATTCTTTTCCTACCCCTTCTGTCCCCTTCTCTTCTTCCTCTTCTGTGAACTCTTTAAGGACACAGATTTTCTTATTCATATTTGTATCTTTGTTGCTTATCATGAGTCTGACATAATAGTCAGGTAGTTAAAAAAGATAATTTCCAATTTTTTTTTTTTTTGTTACCGGGGATTGAACTCGGGTCCTTGCGCTTGCGAGGCAGGCCACCAAACCACTAAGCTAAATCCCTGGCCCCAAAAACATTTTTGAATGGACATACTTGTAAATATTTAAATAAGCAGGAATAAACATGAAGAACTGTGTGAGGACCAAGAATTAAACACTTGGCAAGGTGGGAGGAGGAAAGTGTTTGAATGAAGGAAACTGAAAAGGTATGGTTGGAGAAGTGTAAGAACTAGAAAAATTCAGTGATCAACCATAAGATCTGTTTTTCAAGAAATAGAGAGGCCAAGTAGCATTGTATTGTATTTAGCTGCTAGGTAGTTGATTGTCTGACACTGGTTTTTTTGCAGCAGTAGTAGATGTTGGGATGTGAGGAGGGGTCTTTCATGGAAGCTAGATGGTAATGAATTGAGTGGATAGGAATTGAGAAGCAGATTTGGATAATTTGCACTCTTCTGAAGGAATTTTGTTAAGAGGAAGAAACATTAGAAGTTTGCTGGGAAGGAATTTAGAGTAAAAGGAGAATGTTTTCTTTGTTTTGTTGTTGTTTTACATTTTTGTTTTCTGCAGGAAACTTTAATATGTTCAGGTCACAGGACAGATACATGAGAGGTTAAAAATAGATGAAGAAATGGGGAGGAGGTGATAGGCAGGAGACAAAAAAGAATGGAATAATAGGTATATACAGGTAGAGGAGTTACCTCTGACCTGTAGGAAGCACCCTCAGAATTTGAGAAGAGATGTGATGAGGGAAGAATGAGCAGTCTAATCGATTAAAGTCTGTGATGCCATGAGTTCTATTGTATATATAAAGACGTGTAAATTGGCTTAGAATTTAAGAAAACGGGGGCCAAGGATTTAGCTCAGTGGTTCCACCACCTGCCTTGCAAGCGCGAGGACCCAAATTTGATCCTTGGCGTCCCTCCTCCCCACCAAAAAAAAGAATTTAAGAAAATGAATGTCAGGCCAGCCTGGGCAATACAGTGAGACTCTCCACCCCACTATATTAAAAAAAAAGTATCAAAAAACTCCTAAAGTCTTAAATATACCTTATCTTGCATTTAAGTCATGTTTGTAATGTCATAATTTGTAAGTCACATTTTTAATGTCATAAACCAATCTTTAATGATTTTGTGTATTTTTGAGAGAAGTAGGTAGATAATTTCATGGAATCTCTTGCTTTTCTTTGCCTGCTAAATGAGCCCAAAATCCCTATTCAGGTAAATAGTCTGTTTCCTATCCAAGTACTAACCAGGCTTAACTTAACCCTGCTTAGCTTCTGAGATCAGACAAGATTGGGAGTTTTTCAGGGTGGTATGGACATAGATAATAGCCTATTTAAAAAATACTTCTTTTCCTTTCAAATGTACATGCTAGAATGCTTTAATAGTAGAAAATTCAAAAGATACGATCTTCATCAAATGATACTAAATCCTATCAAAGAATACCATATATTTTTCATATAGTACTTACTCAGATCCAAGGAGTGATATTAGATATAGATATCTTACAACATACAAAGTTTAAAACATTTTTGACTTTCTACTAAATATTGCTTATGTTTTTCTTTCAGTTATTACAAGAACTGTGTACAGTGTTTAATGTAGATTTACCATGCCGTGTAAAGTCTTCCCAGTTGGGAATTATCAGCAATAAACAGACGCATACCAGCGCCATAGTGAAGCCACAGTCTAGCTCCTGTTCCTATATCTGCCAGCACTGCCTCGTCCACCTTGGAGACATTGGTGAGCCTTTGGTGTGAAGAAACTGATAATGAGTTCATTCTTTTTTTTTTTTTTTTTTTTTGGTAATTTTTTTTTTTTTTTTTTTTGTGGTAGTCATAGAAGAAGATTTTTACTTTAAGCTGAATATGCACACACAATTGAGCTTGTCATAAAAGGAAATCATAAAATGTATTTCTAGAAGCTTAGAATTTCTTAGTCTTTTGGGATTAGGAAAGGATCTTAAAGGAAATAATTTTTATATTGAGATTAAATTTTATTCAGACTTTATGTAGGTATAGCCAAATAATAAATAGCAAAAGTATAATCTGAGCTAAACTTATCAAAGTGATGATGTATTTTCTAATTAAAAATCTATACTCTTTTGGAATAAATAGGGTTTATAGGGCTGGAGATTTAGCTCAGTGGTGCCACCCCTTGCCTCACAAGTACAAGGTACCAAGTTCAATCCCCATTACCAAAGTAAATAAACAAATAAAATAGCCGGGCATGGTGGCGCACACCTGTAATCCCAGCACTCAGGAGGTTGAGGCAGGAGGATCGCTGTGAGTTCGAGACCAACCTGGGCTACATAGTGAGTTCCAGATCAGTCTCAACTACATAGTGAGACCCTGTTGCAAAAAACAAAACAAAACAAAAAAAAACCCAAATAAATAAATAAGATTTATAAGTTATTTCTGCTAGAGTTAGATTGCTTTTTTTCCTTCCTACCAGTACACTAAAAGCTCATTTTTAATTTTATTTTCTTTATAAAGTTAAATTTGTATTTGCATTATATGTGTTTTATGTGGGAACTTATTTATTCTTTTTCATCCCTTTAAGGTGACTTTTAAAGGTTGTAAAACAAATTAACTATAGGATTATGTTTTGCTTGTCCTCAAATAACAAGGAATGGAGAACATCATTGCTTTTGAGTTTGAAGATTTTAGGTGTTTTTTTTTAATGTGATAAACTGGTGGCTCCAAGAGGGATCACATTAAAGTTAGCAGTGAGTTCTGCAGGGAGATTCCGTGGTAATGTGTTTAGGGTTTTTTTGTTTTTTTGGCTTTAAATGTATTCTTTGCACACACAATGTTGCAACACGTATGAAGCATTTTTCAAAATCACCTTATAAGATATTGAAATTACATAATTTTCAGATCGTATTGTATAGTGTTTTTTGTTTTGTTTTGTTTTTAAGTGCCATATAACTCACTCCTTCTTGTGGGCCGGCTCCAGGTCACCAGCATAGTCCGTAGTGGGAGCTGGTGGTGCATGACACTGGAGGACCTGAAAATGGGGGCTAGGTAAGCTTTAAAGTTGGTTACGTGCTGATGATTATCCCCAATAGGGAAGGCTGAATGGACACTTCACACATAATCCTATAGTTAATTTGTTTTAAAGTCTTTTCTGTCTTTAATGATCTTAAAATTACTTCTAGATTTAAAATTAGTAATATCTTTATTATATTTAGAATTTAAAACTCTAAAGCTTTTGGAAATACTCTCCTGGTGAATTTTTTACTTTTTTTTTTTTTCTTTTTTTTAAGCTAAATTTTTTTTTTTCTTATTCTCAGCTCGATACAGAAACCAGACCAGCCAGGCAGAGTCCTACTATAGGCATGCAGCTCAGCTTGTCCCCTCCAATGGTGAGTGGGCCTGTCAACTAGAGGTTGACCATTGACTCTTTGTTCTTTATAGCACTGTATGTAACTCGGGTTCACCTTTCAGGATTTATAAAAGCAATAGATGTGAGTTTGGTTTTGATATTTATATTTTCCCCTTTTAACTATACATTTCATATAACTAAAATGAACTTTTTTCAAATAAGAGTACTTTTATTGTTGGTAAAGCAGTATAAATAGAATTTATTGTGATGTAAGTTGTTTCTACAGCTCTGGCTTTATTATTTATAGAATAATTATCTCTTTAATATTACCATTTCCTTTTTTAAAAAATTATCTAAAAGTTAGTACTTTTATCTTTTGATGACCTTGCCAAAGCAGACATTAGCAGTGATTCTTAAAGAAATTTCAGCAAATATTTGATAGTAGAAATCATTAGTGCTAAGCCATATTGAAATTCCTGTAGATTCTAGACAGGGATGGCAGTCTAGCCACATCATCCATTTCATATTGTCTATGACTATTTGCACGATAGAGGTGAGTGGTGTGACAGAGACCCTTTGGCATGAAAGCCAAAAATATTCAGTAGTTAGCCCTTTCTGAAGACTTACTAGAAGTCACCCTCATCCTAGTCATAGGATTTTTAAAATGTGTGTGTGATAGTGTGTAGTATCTCTAAAAATGCTATTTTATATCATGCTTATAATTAGATACTTAGACAATTTGCCCTATAAAATAGTTCCCATTGTTAATTTAAGGATATAAAAACTAAACATTTGTATTCTCACGGCAAGACTGCTATTCTTTGGTTGCTTTAGAATCTTAACTTTCTCCTTTAGGTCAGCCTTACAATCAGTTGGCTATCTTAGCTTCTTCCAAAGGAGACCATCTGACCACAATTTTCTACTACTGCAGAAGCATTGCTGTGAAGTTCCCTTTCCCAGCTGCCTCCACTAATCTACAAAAAGCACTTTCTAAAGCACTGGAAAGGTAGGGTTGACTTTATCAAGAGGACCTTATATAACCTGAAGCCTTACTTCTTCAAGTTTTGGCATACAGGAAATAATGATAAGGACCTATGCTTCTTTCCTCCGATTTCTAAACTTATAAATAGGTATACCGCAGTTTATAGTCACTGAATTTTACCCGGTGTCTGATTTGTTCTAGCTGAATACTGACTCTTAAGTTACTGCAATTGAAAAGTTAGATGCAAAACCCTTACTTTCTGTATCAGGTGCTCAAATAACTTGCTTTTGCAAGCCAAAGTCTCTCTTAAACAATTTTAGTGATTTTGCTGCTTAAGATTCATTGAAGTTTTTCTTTCATTTCAGCCGAGATGAGGTGAAAACCAAATGGGGTGTTTCTGACTTTATCAAGGCCTTTATTAAATTCCACGGTCATGTGTACCTGAGTAAGAGCTTGGAAAAGTTGAGCCCTCTTCGAGAGAAATTGGAAGAACAGTTTAAGGTTAGATTTCAAAACTAGAGACTTTTTTTGTCTAAATCAGAAAGTATAAGATTTGGAGGAAACTAGCTTCTAGGTTTTGACTTAACTGTGAACTACTGATAAAAATTAATATTGAAGTATATGAAATTCTTGCATACAGCATCCTCTCAATTTAAACTTAGGTATAATATCTTAACAAATAGAGTGACAATGTTTTCACTAAGTAACTGCCATTTGGTAGAAAAACATAATTCCATCTTTCTTTGTTATGAAAGCACTACTTTTGATGGGTTTTGTGTTTGACCTACTTTATCAAAATTGCCATTCTATAAACCATGCTCTTTACTCTGTGTAACAACAGTTCATCAGACTTTGTGAAAAATTGAAGGAAAGCATTAAGAACTTCTTTTAGTAGAAATAAATATATTTTACGAACACGTGAGATAAAATTAAGTAACCTTTGTTCCACTTATATGTGACGCTGATTTTATTAATACATTAAGAGTAAGCAGTGTGAAAATAATATATAAAGTCAAAATTAATTAACTTCCATTTATTCAACAAGCATGTGACTCTTGTCATTATTTTGGGCACTGAGATCAACAGTGAACAAAATGATCTCAAAGAACTTATATTTCTTTGTTTTTTCTTTGTATCTGTACATAGAACACTATAACTTAGTTGTTTTAAACTGTTTTTCTGTATTTTTAAAGTCTCATTCAGAAATTTTAGAACTTGGACAGTTACTATATGACTCAGTCAAATATAGTCGATATCAAATAGTTTCTAGAAATAATCATTTTTAGTTGATACTTTATATGTGTAAAAGGTTATATTAGATAATTATAATAGGAATAGTTTATTTTTAAAATGATCTTATTCAGTCCCATTCTCTTTTCTGTTTTTAGCTACCTATTTAAACTTAGCTCATAATGTATTACTTACAGGGTAGGGCGTATGAAAGGAACAACTAGCTTTTTAATGCCATAGTCTATTTAACCTAGAACAACCATGTCTAAATAGATTTGTAATAATTATTCATATATATAAGGGATTAAAGAGTACATAGCTTTGTCTTTCTTGGAGTCAGAACTAAAATCTTAAATTTTATGTAGAGTTCTTTAGATAGTTGCTAAGGGAGATTCTGTATTCTCCTTTTTTTAGAGAGCTTGGATGTCAGATTGACAACTATATTCCTTGTGTTTTAGATACAATACTACTGAATAACAAAGTATTGGACTAGATGACCTCTTAAGATTATTTTTAACTCTTTGAAAAGTATCCTCCCTAAATTGGGTGGTAAGAAGCTGATAATGAGATCTGTGTAATTATTCTAGTCTTAGAAACTAGTCAACTTCGCTTTATTTAGAACCTCAAGCATATTTCCCTCAGCTATAAATTTCTGGTTTGGGGGCTTTGTTTTGTTTTGTTTTTGAGACAGGGTTTTACCATGTAGTCCATGCTGGTCTTGAAATCACTGTGCAGCCCAGGCTGGGCTTGAACTCACAGTGATCTTCCTGCCTCAGCCTCCCAAGTGCTGGGATTACAGGCATGTGCCACTGCATCCAGCCTTATAAATTTTTGTGTTTTGATGGGTATAAATGGGCAATTGCTAAAATATACTTTGAGGTATCATTGCAACACTCTAAAGTTAAACATGGTATGATCCCTTTGAAACCTTACCCAGTGTGTTAGTCAGTGTTCCATTACTTAAAAATGGGAAAGGTTTGTCTTGGCTTACAGTTTGGGAGGCTTTAGTCCATGGCAGTTGCTTTTAGGCCTCTAGTGTGGGAATACATAAGGGTGGGAGCATTTAGCTGCTCACGTCACAGCCACCACAAAGCAAAGAGTGAGAGAGAGAAGCTAGTGTCCGCAGTGTCCCTTTCCAGGACATGCCCTCAGTAACTTCCTCCATTGAGCCTTACCTCTGAAGGTGCCAGTACCTACCAATAGCACCAAGGCTAGGGTGCAAGACTTCTCCTTGGGAAGACCTTCAAGATTCAGATTCTAGCACTCAGTACTAAAACAACAGGAGAATGTTGTTGGAGCTAAATTTTAGCATAGTAAATTTTCAAAAGGAGAAGTAAATTTCAAAAAGTGCTTATATCTAAAACATTTGTAGATAATTTATATCATCCATATTCCTACTTCATTACGTCAAACTAGTCTAATTTGTATCAATGATTAGCTTACTTACGAGGTTGAATATATAGATTGAAGGAGAAATTTTGTGTGAAAATTCTGGGGAAGAGGTGGGATTTTAGAAAATGATGAGAAAAGAAATAGTGCCTTTGGAAAAAGGATAAACATTTTGGATGTTTACAGTAAAATGGGCAGATTGTATGGAGGCTGAAAGTTGATAGAGTAGGGTAAAATGTAATTGTGTTTTTCTCCAGTAATAGAGTGGAAGACCTTACTTAGAGTCATAGATCTTACTCTGGATATTTCAAATTCTTTATGTAAATAAAAGCAAAATAACTCTCAGAACAGTGAAAGACAGCTGTGAATATCCAACATGGTGAAATCGATCACTTTTGTTAAAACTGTAGTGGGGCCGATCATTTCTTACTGTCATGCTAGTGACAGTCCTTGTTGTCTCCAAAAATTTTCCCTAGAGAAAGCCGGGGGGTGATATGGAGTGGGTTGGTTTGTATGGTTAAAGTGTGGGGTAAAACCGGGATATCCTTTCCAGTAACTGTCAGCTTTGTCAGAGACTTGTATTTGAAAAGAGTGTTACGTGGGTATAATCTAAAACCATTGCAGATATTAAAGTGGAGGGACAATTAAGTTGAGGCCAACAACTGAGAACATCTGGGTGACGACTTTATAGTGCTACTTAGCAGGTCACTCTGAACACAATTATTCAGTAAGCAAAATTTGATGAAAATCATATGTATACTTTTCTGGAAGAAAAGTGTTAGTGTAATAATTGGTAAAGGTGCCTGTGAGACATTCTGATTGCTTCAGCATGCCCTTTATCCTGTATTCTAGAGTTCCTTCCTCCTAATTTACTAAGCTAATATGTATGCCTCTTAAAAAGTACTTCTAATGAATTAAATTTATAGATAGAAATACTCCTTCCCAATTCTTTTTCTCTGGTCACAGGTCACATAAACAGTACATATTTTTTAGTGGAAAAATTGTTGATGAGTAGCTCAAACATCTCATTAGTATATGAATTCTTTTCATGGGAAGGAATCACCTTGAAAAAAATATAAGATCCAACATAAAATACTAGGATTTAATGTGGTTCTAAATGTAGGCTATCAGTTTAATTCCTGTGTCTTAAGATGGTTCCTTTTCTTGATAACATATACAGTATTTTTCTTTTCATTTACAGAGGCTGCTATTCCAAAAAGCTTTCAACTCTCAACAGCTAGTTCATGTCACTGTCATTAACCTGTTTCAACTTCATCACCTCCGTGACTTTAGCAATGAAACAGAGCAGCATAGTTATAGCCAAGATGAGCAGCTATGCTGGACACAGTTGTTGGCCCTCTTTAGTGAGTATTAAATTACTTAACCAGTGCCATCTTCTTGAAAAAGCATTATCTCAGTCCTTTCATAAATGTGACAAAACAAAATTATACATGAAAGTGTCCTATATTTCTTAATATTAAATCAGGAGGCCTAAACTCCAAGTACTGTCCTTTCATCTGATGCCCTTCCCATCAACCTGATAACATTTTTAGCATGCAAAAGAAAGAAACTTGAAGATCTTTGAGTATCCAACAGAAGGCTTATATAATATTTTAATTTGGACTGGTATATAGTTTCAAGTGTCTTATGTTTTCTGAGTAATTTTTTTCTTTTAAGTGTCTTTTCTTGGCATCCTGTGCAAGTGTCCCCTTCATAATGAGTCTCAGGAGACATACAATGCCTATCCTCTTCCTGCGGTCAAGGTCTCCATGGACTGGCTGAGACTCAGACCCAGAGTCTTTCAGGAGGCAGTGGTGGATGAAAGACAGTAGTAAGTGTTTGGAAATTTTATGGTAGCTTGTGCTTTGTTTGTTTGATACTCGTAGATATGTAAAAACTGCCTTCTAAAACACAACATTTGAACAGTGAAAGACTTTGTGTTTTCTGCCTACTCTGGAATTGAACTGAAAACCTCTTTGTGTGCTTGTCATTTATTTATTTATCTCAATTCTTCATGTGAAGCACTGTCTGTAAGATGTTTGACTCTCTCTGCCCTCCCCTGTTCCCAGTTGCCATCCTGGGAAAAAGGCATTTTTCACATTTCAAAAGGAACTTGACATACAGTGTTTGTTTCTTGGCAGTACATTGTGCCCTGATTTTTCTTTTTAGGAATTGAAGAAAAGCAATTTGTATTTCTCTATTTATACATAAACTGATGTTGCCTTACAGTAATATCCAATCTGAATTATATTTATTTTAAATATAGAAGTTTGAAAGTTGTTTTTATTCTGAACATTTCTCTGTAATGTCTACTTAGAGTACTTCTGATAGGACTTAAAAACTATTGATTTTACAGTGGCAAATGAAAATTTTCCATATACATTTAATACTCTGTATGTTTTGGTGGTAAACTTAAGAAAAATCTCTGAAATTTCTGCTTGTGGCCCAACAATGGCAGTTTTTTGTGCTCATTGACCAAGGTCACAACGTAGAAAATAAAGTGGTCTGATTTCATTTTAAGACCCTGTGATCACTTTACTTTGTAATTACCTTTCCGGTTTCCTCTCATCTCTTAAGTGTCTTCATTTTTGACATTGTGATGAATGAAGTTTGGGAACGTAACACAATACTCTATATGTTTCCCTTTGATAATAGTGTATATTTTAGTAATACACAGTTCCAGACACTGCTTTTTTGCATAAAACTTCCTTTTTGTGGGTGGGGGGATACCAGGGATTGAACTCAGGACCTTCTGCTTGAGAGGCAGGTAGTGGCACCAATGAGCTAAATCCCTGGCCCATAAAATTTCCATTTCTTAAGTTGGGCTGTATAGTTTCTTTACTCATATAATTTAGTATTTGAATTTCTATTTTGTTCAATACAGTGTATCAGCAATGCTATGAAAGAATAATTCTGTGTTTTACCACTTGCTTATAAAGTTTTTGTATTTATGAGCAGCGATTGCCTTTTTGTTTTATTTTTGCTCCTGTGTTGTGATCTATTTGGCCCAGAGTTCAGTCATGAGTATTATAACAATGTGGACTTTTTTATACTATGAAGAAAAAGACATTGTTCACCACTTTGAACAGTGAACAGAGAATGTGATTTGAGTGTGATGTAACCAGACCGTGTCACAGGTTAAAGATCTAGCAGTGGATTCCACAATGGACAGTGTATGTGAAAGTGCCATGAAAAAATAATATGTTGTTATCTCTAGTCAGAGTTTTCTCCATAAATATCAAATGTCAAGGTATAATGTGTTATTTTTACTGTCTGTTAAATTAGAAAACTGGAAAAGATCTGTAGTAGCATTTGATCTTATAGTATATCTTTTCTAGATATCTTTGAAAACATATTTTAGAGAATTACACAGCCTTTAAAATGTTGACATGAATGAAGAACACATGAAGATAGGTACTACAGATGTCATTTTTGTGACTTACTAGTATTCCAATTTCTCTTGTATAAAAATAAAATCTGAAATATTTCTTTAATCTACAGCATATGGCCCTGGCTAATTTCTCTTCTAAATAGTTTCCATCCCCATGAAGAAGATCTCACAAGTACTAATGGTAGGTAAGGGGGACCCAAACCATGCTTGTGGTTGAAAGCCAGAGAAAAATAGATTTTTGGTGCAAAATATTTGACTTTAAATTCAGTGTTTCAGAATTGACTTTGAGCTCTGTACGGATTAAGTGGTAAAAGTAGAGATAAATGTTCTTCCAGTCCTTTCAGCAACTCACTCTGATTCAGTAGGGGTCCACACATTGGAATAATCTTTAAATTCTTTCCATCTTCTCCCATTCCTCTTCGTTCTAAATATTTAAAAGGTGGAGCTGGGGACTGAGCTCAGTGGTGGCACGCAGGACTAGAGTTTGATCCCCGGTACAAAAAAAAAAAGTGGGTGGAACATTACTCATAGAAAATTTGACATATGTAAACATTAAAAGTCGCCTGTAGTTTTCTCATAGTACTTTGTACAATCCACGTATCTTCTTCAGGCCTTTTTCTAATACATACAAACACATGAGAAATAGTTGGTATCAAATAACAATTTTGTGCCTACTTTTTTTTTTGGTACTGGCGATGGAACTCGGATCCTTGTGCTTGCAAGGCAGGCAGCGGCACCACTGAGCTAAATCCCTGGCCCTTTGTACTTATTTTTTAAATTTACCATATTGTTAACATTATTTTATCATTTTTTCGGGGGGAGGGGTCTCAACATTTTGGAGATATTTTTACTGACTACATAATATTCCATAATCCATAATCATAATATTCTCTATTTTTAAAATTTCCCCATTATAAATAGGACTGCACTCAGCAACCTGTAACTTGACTCCTTTCTTGTTATCTTTCCATTAGATCAGTTGTCCTCAAGTGTTAATTTCAAGTGTTACAGTATGGCTTTTGTTTCAGTAGGTTTGGAATTAGTGACCAAGATTTTGTATTTCTCATAAGCTCCAGGGATGGCAGTTGTTACTGAGTACTTTGAGTAAAAAGAGATATGTGATCTAGACATTGGTATTACTAGATCTGAGACTAGGAATTTTTAAGATTGCTGATAAAGTCCATCAGACTCATTCTCTGGAGCCTTCAGTAATATCTGAATATTAGGGGAATGTCCAGGCCCCAAAGGTAACATGCAGAATTTTATAGGTGATTTTTTTTGTTTTGTTTTGTTTTTTTTTTTTGTACTGGTGCTCAAACTCGGGACCTTGAGTTTGTGAAGCAGGTGGCAGAACCGCTGAGCTAAATCCCTGGCCCCTGGTGAATTATTTTTATATAGGTTCTTTCTGTGTGATTTTTCCCCCAGTATTTTAATGAAAGTGCTTACAAATTTTTATTTTTCTGCCTTATTTAGCTACACCACTTCCAGAGGAATTTGAGTTACAAGGCTTCTTGGCTTTGAGACCTTCTTTCAGGTAGGTGGCTGCTGATTGAGGTTTATTTCTTTGCTGGTGGTTGCAGTATTAAAAGTAGTAGGAATCAGGCTTGAGAATAGAGGAACCTTTGATCGATCTGTCCCAACTCTACCTGACTTTAATAACAACAACTAATGATGAAGGGGGGATTTAGCTCAATGGCACCACAGATGCCTTGCAAGCACAAAGTCGTGAGTTCGATACCCCCCATACCGAGAAAAAAAAAGTTGACATGAAATGGATTTGTGTATGTCATGCCTTTAATTCCTATATAATACTGAGTGCTTTAAGAAAATGTTTGTAGAAAGAATGGGAAAAAATGTTTATCCTAAGTGATATTTGATCACTGAATTCTACCTTTTTATCTCTTTATTCCACTTTAAGAGGCATCAGTTCTATTTTCTTGATCCTAACCCCTTCGTGTGTCCTTTGTCCCATTCTATCCTGCCTATCTGAGAGCTCTGCTTCATCTTTTAATCTTCTCCATATTGCTCTTCTAGTATCATTTTTCAACCAACTACGTTCCTTTAGCCTAGTAACATTTGAGTGTCCTCCATTCTTTTAAATAAAATGAAACCCATGATCCACTGAGCTAAATCCCCGACCCTATTTTTGCCATATCTTTCTCTTTATCATCATATTTCTTAAGAGTACTGTGGAGTAACTTTGTTAACTCTGCTTTAACTTGTAGTCATTTCTTCTTCTTTGGCAACATAATCAGTGACCTTCTAGATACCAGATTCCAGGACATTATAATTTTCATTCTTTTCAAATTGTATTCAGCATTGATTCTGTTGACCCTCTTCATTCATGAAATCTTTTTCTTTAGTTCTGTAACATTACTCTCCTTTTCCCACCCCCAGTTCTCTTTTTACTCTTTATTTTGAACCACATGCATCTGAATATTGTTCTCCAGAATTGTTTCTCTGTCCTTTCCTTTCTACTTTGTGCATTGTCCCTGGCAATCAGATTCCCTTATATCCTTTCCTGTGAGTACCAGTAAGGTAAACAGTTATCCATACCTGTCAAGGTCCAGCTCAGGTATCACTATGAAACCCTTCCAGAGCTGCTTGGAAGGAATTTATCCTTTGTTTACTTTGTTCTTATTCTTTGCATAGTTTTTTAAAAAAATTTTTTTTTAAAGTTTAATGAAAAATCTGGAAATCCTTTTTTTTTTTTTTGGTTGATTTACCCTTTTCATGTCTATTTACTTTATGATACACACACACATTTTTCTGACTTAGAATGAGCCATCTAAAAGTGGATAGATTAATACTGTTTTTTAGAATGACACCTCAGAAGAACAGCATTGCCATGGTCATTTTATGTAAATTTTAGAAGGCCAGGGCAGGTGTTTATAAAACTTCATTCTGGTGGGAGGGTTTAGCTCAGAGCCTAGCATGTGCAAAGCCCTGGGTTCAATCTCTAGCATTAACCAAGCAAACAAATACTTTATTCTTTTTTTGTTGTTGTTGTTGTTGTTAAGTTGTACTGGGAATTGAAATCAGGCTTCCTACATGCTAGGCAAGTACTGTTCCACTGATGTACATCTCCAAAACACTATTCTTAAAAAGACAAATGTGGGGCCGGGGATTTAGCTTAGCGGTTCAGTGGCCTGCCTTGCAAGTGCAAGGACCTGAGTTCAATCCCTGGTACCAAAAAAAAAAAAAAAAAGGACTAATGAGTCTTTCCTAACAAAAGATGGTAACTTGAGTTCCTTAACAAGAAAGGAAAAGATAAGTTAACATTACATTAATGTGATGATCTTATGTATTTTCTCTTTTGCTTTGTTTTATTATATTTAAAATCTTGAGTGTAAATTCAAACAAACACTACTGATTAATCAAGTAACTTATCTATATGGAGAACATCTTGAAGCCATTGACCTCACTAGCCACATTGAAATCATAAGCAACTTTATTTTATTGCAGTTCTGGGAATCAAACTCAGAACTTTGCACGTGATGGGTCACTGCCTAGCTGAAGCCATGTCCCTAATTTCTGGAGGTTTTCTTTTGAGTTTAATTTTCTGTTATTTGCTATGTCAATTTTAGGAACTTGGATTTTTCCAAAGGCCATCAGGGTATTACAGGAGACAAAGGGGGTCAGCAACAACGAATTCGACAGCAACGCTTGATCTCTATAGGCAAATGGATTGCTGATAATCAGCCAAGGTATGTCTGTGGGGCTTCATTCCATTCCTTTTTAATCAGCTTATCAGCGCACACACATACACCACCCTTACTTTATATGTCTATTAGATTTGGTATAATTGTTGATTATGAATTAAATCAAAGTATTTATACTATATATCTAATTATGACCTTAATGATCATGAGTGTACTTTTTTGTGTACACTGCCTATTGTAGAGGCATTGATTTTATCTCCCTTGTATATCTTAAGTTTCAACTCTAATCTGTAAACGTCTTTATGGGACTAGGGATGTATATCAGTGGTAGATCACTTGCCTACTGTGTGCAATGCCCTGGGTTCCATCCCCAGCACCGTAAAAAACAACGCATTTGTGTGTGTGCGCGTGTGTGTGTGTGTGTGTGTGTTATATTTATATTTGTATCTGAGTTGTATGTTCTTGGTCAGAGTAATTTGTACAGACAAAGCATTGTGGTCACTTTCAATCAGGAAAGACCAGGATGACAATGGTGGCTAAATACAAAGATGTAATAGGTAAGGTAGTGGAATGAACACAGGTTTTAGAATCAGATAGATTTGAATTTAGTTTCTACTTCAGTCACTTTCTAGGTATTTACCCTTGGGATCTCCTGAGTAGAGATTATAGCCTTTTCAAAAATCAGTAACTATTTTACAGTTTTTGTATTCAGGTTCCTGTTGTACAGTCAACACCTAAATTTGGGTGACCTTACCACTTTTGAGCTTTCATTTCTATGCCTATAAAATGAGAATTATATGTGTCTACCTTATGGGACTTGCCAAGGGCTAAAAACGTGTTCAGTAAATGTAACTGTAATTATTAGCAAAAACTCAAAAGGTAGGGTAATATTCTGTGGTGACATACAGAGTGATAATGAGTTTCTTTGTGACTACTTTTTGTGTCACCTGCATCCATATTGTTATGTATTGCAATTTTTGTATGTTTTAGGACTAAGAATATATATGACTTTGGATCTTTACATAGCTGAGTTGTTGTTTTTTAGGTGTATGTTTTTTTATATGTGTACTTATTTTTACTTTTTAGGTTGATTCAGTGTGAAAGTGAGGTAGGGAAATTGTTATTTATCACAGAAATTCCAGAATTAATACTGGAAGACCCCAGTGAAGCCAAAGAGAACCTCATTCTGCAAGAAACATCAGTGGTAGAGTCCCTGGCTGCTGATGGGAGCCCAGGACTGAAATCAGTGCTATCTACAGGCCGAAATCTAAGCAACAACTGTGACACCGGAGAGAAACCAGTGGTTACCTTCAAAGAGAACATAAAGCCACGAGAAGTGAACAGAGACCAAGGAAGAAGTTTTCCTCCCAAAGAGGTGAGAAGGGACTGTAGCAAAGGAATAACTGTAACTAAGAATGATGGAAAGAAGGACAACAACAAGAGGAAAACTGAAAACAAGAAATGCACCTTAGAAAAGTTACAGGAAACAGGAAAGCAGAATGTGGCAGTGCAGGTAAGCTGTATTTGAACTATAAAGCAGGTAGAGGAAGGCTCACACAAAAGGCAAGATTTTTCATTTTGTTCCTAAAACCTTGAGCTTTGGAAGATCTGAAATTTGAATGAAGAGCTATGGTAGATGGTTACTTTTATCAGTTCTTGGAAATTAGAATGTAAGTGGAAAAAATCTCAACTTGATTTGAAATTTTTATTAATTCTAAGTGACTTCAGATGACCTATTGTGGAGACCTTGGTTCCACACAGATTATATTTTTCTTTGGTTAGCATCATTACCAACTATTAATATTACAGTAGAGATTTGGAGTCTTATATAGAACTGAAGGTTTATTAAGGCTTATACAGTTGATTTTTTTTTTGTCTCCCCCACCCAAGATATACTATACAATATAATTCTTGGAAAAAGATGAAGCTTGTTTTTCTTGACATTTATAACTGTTTCCAGCCAGTGGCTTCCATCATTTTGATATTATTCTGGCTCATGGGAATTTGTAAAATAAGAACTCAAGTCATTTGCTGGGAAAAGATAATGTTTTGTACCTTTCCAAAGAAACAGATAAGTTTATATAAACAGAAAAGGGTCTTTACTTTGTTGGCTGTAGGAATACTATTAATGTTTGAATAAATACTTAAATAGCCATGTGACTTGTTGACACATTTTGGCAAATGTATGTGTTTGCAGGAGGAACATTACATTGTAAGGCTACTTACGGATAAATAGTACCTTTAATTTATTTCTCTAGTGGGATTTTTATGAGAAAGGGGAGAAACAAAATAATAGTTTCATTTTAAGATTAATAGTAGGAAGGTAAAGAGAAAAAACATGGTAAAAATTTAGAAAAGATGTGAAAAAAGGTGCTTGGAAAGGCAGGAAAAAAGCAAACAAACTAGAAAGCCAAAGGAATAATGTGTTTTAGGAATTAAAAATCCAACATTTCTTGCTGGGTTCCTTTCCTCTATTCTATGTAATGGCCCTCCAGGCTGATAATAAAATCATTTTGCCGGGTACTTACCATCTCAAATCTGCCTATAGATCAAGAAAGCTGACATGTGTAATATATCACCACAGTCTGCCTGATTCCAAATTTTCTATAAATGCTACTTTTCCCTATTTTTGCTCAACCTTGAGCAATATATATGGCATCTATTTCTTTCTAAATCAATGTATAAGCTGTTGGCCCCGTTTCTTACTGCTGAAAGTATCTTTATTTATTCTGAAGGGTGATAAGATTGCAGGATGGAGTGTGGGAGCTGTACATTTAGCTGCCCAGATGAAATTAGATTGCAGGCCAAACTGATTGAAAGCAAAAAAATGCTTTTGTAAAATGTTTTGATGGTTTTTCAGTTTTAACTTAGGTTAATGTAAATGTCAGCATATACTTTTTTATATACTAAGCTTTTAAATACTTTCTTAGGAGTGTAGGTACTTCTTTCTCACACATTTCAGTTCCAGGTTTTGGAGATAATTTTGCCTCTGTTGGTCATAGGTAAAATCCCAGACAGAACTAAGGAAAACTCCAGTGTCTGAAGCCAGGAAAACGCCTGTAACTCAAGCCCCGAGTCAAGCAAGTAACTCCCAGTTCATCCCTATTCATCATCCTGGAGCCTTTCCTCCTCTTCCCAGCCGTCCAGGTAAGCCATGTTGTATAATTTCTCCTACCTAATACCATCTGTGTGTGGATTTCTATTCACTCACTGTTGGAGTGATGTTACTAAGCATAATGTTATAAAGTATAAGTTTAACTTTTCCTAATGCTTATAAAATTATTTTTGAGCTATTTCTTTGTAGCACCTATATAGAATTCCTGTCACTAAACGTGAGAAGCCAGCTTTAGAACACTGATTGCTTCAGTTGTAGAACAAAAGTAGCCAATTGTCTATATTTAATTCTTAAAATCATATTAGAGTGACATGGTTGATCTGTTGCTCTTTTGTGTTAGTAACCCCTCCCCCAAAGAAGATGACTTTTTCTCCCTTTTGTTTTTTTTTTTTTTTAAGTTTCTTTAGAACTAAAACTGTGTTCTTTTATTTTGAAGGGTTCCCGCCCCCAACATATGTTATCCCCCCTCCTGTGGCATTTTCTATGGGCTCAGGTTACACCTTCCCAGCTGGTGTTTCTGTCCCAGGAACCTTTCTTCAGTCTGCAGCTCACTCTCCAGCAGGAAACCAGGTGCAAGCTGGGAAACAGTCCCACATTCCTTACAGCCAGCAACGGCCCTCTGGACCAGGGCCAATGAACCAGGGACCTCAACAATCACAGCCACCTTCCCAGCAACCCCTTACACCTTTACCAGCTCAGCCAACAGCACAGTCTACAAGCCAGTTGCAGGTTCAAGCTCTAGCTCAGCAGCAACAATCCCCTACAAAAGCCACTCCAGCTTTGGGGAAAAGCCCACCTCACCACTCTGGATTCCAGCAGGTAAGGTGTAGTTATGATACTGAGCAGCTGGAATAAGGGAAGATACTGAAGTATCTCCGTGTTTAGACAGTTGGAAAATGCTAATTAAATTTTAAGATACTTCTTGCTTTGACTTATGGTTGAAGAAATACAAGGTTTTTTTTTTCTCTACTGTTCAGAAAATGTAAATGTTTTCTTTCTTTATTCATAAAACATTTAAATCTTCACTGCTATTCTTTGCTACTACTAATTGGCAGTTTTATAGAGTTTTTATAAATAATTGTCTCTTCTTTGAAAATAAATTAAAGAATGGAACTAGCATCAGTCTTGAGGTACTGAGGTGGATGTGACACCAGTCTTAAATGTTGTCCCCACAGCACTTAAAGCAGAAGGATGAAACTTCCCCCCTCCTTCCTCCTCTCTTCCTCCCCATATATGCACTTATTCATTTGTTGAACCTCTTATTTGAAGAGACTATAAGTTCATTGTACATAGTCTGTGCCTAGAAAGTGGTATATATTGAAAAAATCCCAAAGTATAAAGGAAACTGCCGTATGCCTAGAGGATTTGTGTAAAATCTCTCAAGTTCATTCAGTCATTTTTAAGCACTGCTTATAAACAGCATTGCATTTTATCTTCATCTTGTTGATGGGCATCTCTTTTTTTAGTATCAACAGGCAGATGCCTCCAAACAGCTGTGGAATCCCCCTCAGGTTCAAGGCCCACTAGGGAAAATCATGCCTGTGAAACAGCCCTACTACCTTCAGACCCAAGACCCCATAAAACTGTTTGAGCCGTCATTGCAACCTCCTGTAATGCAGCAGCAGCCTCTAGAGAAAAAAATGAAGCCTTTTCCCATGGAGCCATATAACCATAATCCCTCAGAGGTCAAGGTCCCAGAATTCTACTGGGATTCTTCCTACAGCATGGCTGATAACAGAGCTGTAATGGCACAGCAAGCAAACATGGACCGCAGGGGCAAACGGTCACCAGGAGTCTTCCGACCAGAGCAGGATCCTGTCCCCAGGATGCCATTCGAGGTGGGTGTCCTTGTCCTCCCCAGGTTTATTGAAGATAGGTCTGGGTTTGCATGTATTGAATTCCTCAAATACGTTTATTTATAGTTTTTAAGTTGATACATGAAAGTTGTAGCACTTATTTAGAAAATAGATGTTTAAAAAGGCCGCTTTGAAACAGAATTATATCATTAAGTCTCTTCAGAATTACACAGTATGTTTTAGTTTGGGGAGCTGAAGAATTCTACAACTAATTTTAAAGTGTGATGGTCTTGCAGATAAATTCTGGGACAAAATGATCCTCTCATCGGGACTGATCTAAGTTTTAAAATAGGTTTACTGAGTGTTTAGATAAATTGCATTTTGAGAGGAAAAAAAAGTCAGCCAGTTATCTTGGACAGTAGAATTCCCTTTCCTGGCCCTTCTTATTCGTGAGAAACAGGTGTTTTACTTTTTGAAAAAGCTGTCTCTATTTGTTTGCACAAATTATGCTCGTTTTGCTTCTTTTTATTGTTTTACTCACTAATCACATTAACTTTCTATGTTCTGATCTGTCAGTATTTTTGCTCTTTTCCTCTTTGTTTCATAGTTGATGATTCCCCTAATTTTATTTTATTTGCCTTATCCACCTAATCATACTAGTACCCCTTTATGCTTCATTGCTTCTTACTATAATCCTTTCTGTCACTAGGATCCCAAGGGCTCCCCTTTGCTTCCTCCGGACCTGTTAAAGAGTCTGGCTGCCTTGGAGGAAGAGGAAGAGCTGATTTTTTCTAACCCTCCTGATCTTTACCCAGCTCTGCTTGGGCCTCTCGCCTCTCTTCCTGGAAGAAGCCTCTTTGTATGTATTTCACATAATTCTGCTTCTTGCTCTAACCCCAGCTTTTCTAAAAGTCTATAGTATGTGATATCGAGGTTATTTTGTTTTTTCCTTGCTGGGGCTTGCTTTCTTTGTAGAAGCATAGACTATTTCCCGAATGTCTTAAACTAACCTTGAGAAGGTAGTAAAATGTGGCATACATTTCTGACTAGTTGCCTCAAGTCATAGAGTCGTAGTGTGGATGTGTGTGCTAACCAGGAAGCATATCATAGGCTGGTCATACTTGGGGTGTGCTACTGGCAAATTACCCATTCATGTTTTAGATGGCACTTCTGTCTGGGCCCAGAAGTTTCAAGTGTCCTTTAATCTTGCCTAGGGATGATGAAATTTGTGTACTACATGTATATAAAATATGAAAGGAAATATGTTCTAGTTTTTTTTTTTTTTCCTCAATTAAAGAAGTGGGGGCTTATTTGGCTCACAGTTTTGGAAGCTGAAGTTAAAAAAAATTTAACAGCTTTCGTGATGCTTGAAAATTCCCTAAGAATCTGCCTGGCTGAGTGGCAGTAGTGGCTTCCTCCCAGATTAGCAAGAAGAGATCCCCTGAAAACTTAAATGGAGCACAGACTGTAAAATCCTAATGTTGCTTAAACATGCACACTTTGCATGCAGCTTTCTTGCTGGAGGGGTTGGAGAAACTGAAGATGGTCCCTTTCCACTTGTTTCCTTATCCCTAAATTCTGCTGCTCCTGTCCCTACACTGGAAATGGAGCTGATTATGGAGCAAGTTTTTTTAGCTTTTTTGTTTGTTTGTTTTCATATTTACAAATACAGAGAAAAAAAACTTGATAACCCATCTTGTTTAACAATGCTAACAGTCTACTATGTGTGAAAGTGCCTTACATATAGCAGGTAAATATTTTGTTAACTCTATTCAGTGACAGCATTAGAAATTCAGCTTTCTTTTTCCTCATAACTTTCTTGGGATAAATAGATGTAAGCGATTTTTAGCATTTTAGTGTGTACCACAAAAATAACTACTTAGGAAACATATAAATAAAACTCACTGTCAGATGAATTTTAAAAGCTTTGTTTAAAAAGGTGTCAATGTTTTGTTACGCTTTATTCTGTTTTGATATAGGGTCTCTGTAGTCCAGGCTTGCCTGGAACTCTCTGTGTATCCCACACTGGCCTCAAACTTGGAATTATTCCTATCTCCAGCCCCCAGTGCTGGTAGTACAGGTGTTGGCCACCACATCTGGCATCAATGTCAGTGTTTTAGAAATTTAGGAAATAAATACTGCTAGAACATTTCAGCATCTTGTTTTGAAATTCTTCTAAATGTGGCTACTGATAAGAGGATTCCTGAGGCTCATACCTAAAAAAACACTCAGAACTCCTGTTTTCCAGAGTCTTTGGTCCCTCCCTCAATCTCTGCACTAGCCTGGATACACTGGTAAAGGAGGATTCAGACTTACCTGTAGCAACTTGCCTTTAGCTGATATCATGATATTAACAGATTTGAATACATATTTTCTAAGTGTTATGTGGTGCACATTGAATGAGTACAAGTCTGCTTAAGTGCGGGTTCTTTTATTTTGGTTCTGTAGTATTTTAAGATTAATATTAGGAAAGTAGAAGGAATAACTCAATACTTTTCTTTCTGGGACTGTGAAGAAATCCTTGTTGGAGAAGCCTTCAGAACTCATGTCACATTCATCCTCTTTCCTGTCCCTCACCGGGTTCTCTCTTAATCAGGTGGGTACAGAGTTAAGAATCTTGCTTTGTATTTCAATTATAGGCTGGTATTTTTTTCCCATTGTATTTCGATATGTCTGTTTTTCTCTTTCTCCTTTTTCCATATGTTATTGTCAGATACTTGATTTTATCCCCTTCCCTCTGACTAGGGCAGGCTAGTGACCTGTACATTATGAGTTTGAACCCTTTAACATCTCATTAATATTGAAATCTTCATGGCTATGTGTTCAGCCAAATGAATTATTCATATTTTTAAAATCTGAGTGGTTTATACAAAGCAAAATAAAAGGGTAAGAGAAAGCAAAGGGAAAGTGAATATGAGCGAAAATTAAAAGAAAAGCCTCCAAAAGTTTGTCTTGCTAAGAAAAGCTTTAGATATATCAGGAATCCATGAACATAATATTGCATTTTCTTAAATGTCTCTTTCACAGAGTGTGTTTATACTTTGATTATCTTGTTTTTCAGGAAAGATACCCAAATAACGGCATGTTCAATGAGGTCTATGGAAAGAACCTGACAGCCAGCTCCAAAGCAGAGCTTAATCCCTCAATGCCCTCCCAGGAAACATCACTGTATTCCCTTTTTGAAGGGACTCCATGGTCCCCATCACTACCTGCCAGTTCAGGTATTAAATTATAAACTTTGCCTTTTCTGTACATTCATATTGACTGAAGACTTAATAGGAGTCTGTAATTACAAATATATTAATTAGGGTTTTTTAATAATTTCTAAAAGAAAAGAGAAAAACACCTCCTAAGCCAGTTGATCTAATAAATCCTACGTAAATGTTTCTTCACCCTAGGTAACTAGCACAATTGTAAGAGAGAAACATGATTTCTGTCACGGTCCCAGTTGTATTTTAGTTTTCTTTGTAGATGAAAATTGTAGCAAAAAATCACATTTTTTCAAATAAAGATTTTTCATCCCAATTTTATAAATTATAGTCTGATATTATAGTAATTCCTAAAGTCAAGAAATTTTATTTCTGATAGAGACAACTAGTAAATACTTACCTGAAACTTATCTGGCTTATGAAAAGCCAGAGTAATGCATTCATTTAATAAAAGTACTTTTTTTGGTTTTTTTTAAGGCAAAACTTGTGCCTTCGATATGTGCAGTAAGGCAAATTAGTACATCTGGCAGATTTCTTTATGAGGCCTTTAAATCACCTTTTCTTCGAGGCTCTGTAGTTAGTAGAGTTTAGAGAATATTTCTTGCTATGTTTATGAAACATCTATTCAGTGACCTACATTGCTATCATTTAATAGATCATTCAACACCAGCCAGCCAATCTCCTCATTCCTCCAACCCAAGCAGCCTACCCAGCTCTCCTCCAACACACAACCATAATTCTGTTCCATTCTCCAATTTTGGACCCATCGGGACTCCAGATAACAGGGATAGAAGGACTGCTGATCGGTGGAAAACTGATAAACCAGGTGAAATCTAGGTTTTGTTATCTTGGGAAAGTGAAGCCATTTACCATATCCATACCTGGGATTTGGTACAGTATTTGGCACTAATAGAACATCTTGAATTTTTATCTGTCTTCATCCCTTAGCCATGGGTGGGTTTGGTGTTGATTATCTCTCAGCAACATCATCTTCTGAGAGCAGTTGGCATCAGGCCAGCACTCCAATCGGCACCTGGACAGGCCATGGCCCTTCCTTGGAGGATTCCTCTGCTGTCCTCATGGAAAGCCTAAAGGTGAGTAATTTCCATTACAAGAACCACAAGACTCTGGTAGCAAAGATTTCTCTACTTTGACTCAGATAGAAAGCTAGGCTTACTTCTGCAGCCCTTAGAATTGACAGTTGTATGCCATATATGTAACAGAGTTCTAGAAATATGGCCTGCCTTACCAGGAGTCTTTAGTAAAATGTATTTTTTAGTTTGTGAATTCACTAGTGATAAAGAGGTTTCTTCAGGGGATTAGAAGCATAATAAAAGGTTTTGTTCTAAGGTTAAGAAAATTCTGATTCATCTTATATTGTCTGAGTCTTTTCTAACCAAGTGAAAGAAGTGTGTAATTTATGAAATAACTTGTTTGCCTAAAGCCTTTATATAAACATACCCTGTGTTACCACATGGAGCAACATATTAGCAAAAAGACTTCATTTAAATATATAATTTCCCCTTTTACAGTTTAAGATAATTTTAGTAGGAACTAACTTAAAGACTAATATTCTCTAATAGCTGAGTGTTTTATAGAGGAGGTTCTTGGGGCATATATTGCTATATATCTGGCAGGGATTAAAAAACAAATCCCCCATCAAATAACCAATTGACCTCTGCTGACAAGATCTGGGCTGTTTTTCAGTCTATCTGGTCCAGTTCCATGATGCATCCTGGACCCTCCGCTCTGGAGCAGTTGTTAATGCAACAGAAGCAGAAACAGCAGCGGGGACAAGGCACCATGAACCCTCCACACTGAGGCCAAAGTGGCAACCCTGGGAATGAAGGCTCCATAAACCATGGCATGTTGGGTTTGCAGGATTGGCCCACACAGTCCCCTGCAGGTGGCAGCCCTCTTGTCTGTTCCTTGCTGTCAAGAGGATGTAAGTGTTCCACCAGCCCGCTGAGTGTGCACGATATGTCCGCAGTGCAACAAAAAGAAAAATCCATCAGGAGCTCTCCGTCCCCCTAGGTCCTTCTAGAGGGAGAGAGGAACTGCTATTTGTCTCACTCAGTTACCTGATATCACCACCTCTCACCTTCTCCGTCGTGCATGTCCCCAGCCACATGGGAAGTGAAAGCTGAGAAGGGAAGGCAGGTGGGAGAAGCCAATGGGAACTTCTCAGTCCTTTTTTTCCCTCTTTGGGGAATAAAATAGGAATCCATTAATAATTGCTTTGCTGACTGAGAATGTAGTTGAAATTATTCCTGAACATCTTTTGTTATTATTATTACTCTCAGTAGTAAAATATCACACTGAATTCTTCCATACAAGGTGTTCTCCTAGTCAGTGTGTAGCAAAGACAGCCCCATTCACTGCTCCTGTGAGAGGCTGGTGGTGACAGGATAGGGAACCAACCTTCTCAGCCAGTGGAAGTGTTCTGTGGGGAGAATACAGGGCCTCACAGAAGGCTCTGGCAGGCCCTTCTCTGGCCTGGAGATTTCAGTAGGAAATGCCCTTCACTCTGTAGGTGCTCGAGCCCTCGAGGATGCAGTGTGGGTGTTGGTGCTGGGCTAGACTAGCAGGTGACTGCTTTAGGATTTCAAATTGATGTTTTTGATTCCTGTACTTTTTGCAGTAGCATAGCAAGCAGTCTCACAGAAGGCAGGCTACTTCATTCATGGCCTGACACATTTTATTGGGTAGAAGCTTTCAGTGTGGTTATTTTTGTTTGGTTGGTTTTGTGCCCTCATCCTACTTACCAGCCTCCTGCACCTGTGTCCATCCTTTTTGTTGGTAATTGTTTTTATTCCTAATGTGTACAACATCTCACCAAGAAGCAACAGCATGGGGTCCAGCAGTTGGGGCCTGAAAGTCTGAAGAGGAGGGAAGCAGTACCGTCTGCATAGCCGCAGAGAGGCCAGGCCCCTGCCCAGCTGCATTCTCCCAGCCTCCACTTCAAGAGTGAGACTCAAGGCACTATGGACATAAGCACGTCATGAATAGAAGAAAACATAACGAAGGCCATTTTGGAAAAGGCGAGAGAAAAGAAAATAAACTTTTTACTTGGTATTTATTAGGAGGAAAGAGGACTGAAGATGTTCTTGTGTAGAAACAGGAGGACAGCATTTCTGTTAGTCACTTCCTGGAAAAGTAATATTTTAAGGGAAAATTATGGAAACAATCTAAATGTCCAATTGCTGTGCTAGTGGTAGGGATTTTCTGGGAGGTCTCGAGTGTGCGCCTGTGTGTGTGTGTGTGTGTGTGTGTGCACCCACATGTGCCCATCTGCTCCCCCAGAGGGAAGGGGTTGTGTGTATGAGTGTATCGAGTTAATATGAAACTTAGCTGGGAAACAGCTGCAGAGCAAAGCACATCAAGGAGCCCCAGGTGTCACTGGAGTCTGGGCAACCCCAGCAATTAAAGGGGTGAGATAATGCTCATTGCTCTTCAGAAAGAGTGGTTGAAGCCCCCTTATGCTTACATTATTGCTCTTTTAGTTTGACATGGTTATTTGGGGTTTTGTTTGTTTGTTTGTTTTGTTTGTTTCTGAAAGGTCCGAAAGGGTAAAGCCCCCCCCATCTAATGGCAATATGAAAAATCCTTTGTGCTTCTCTCCATCCCCTTCCCTGTGTCCACCTTTTCCCTCCTCCTTTCCCTACTGCCTTTACCCGGTTTGTGTGTTTGAGCTCTGCATTCAGGCAGCTGCAACATTCCAGTGTTTGAACTGTCACTGATCCTGCACCCTAGACGAGCTCACCAGGTTTACCACCTCCCTCCCAGTAGTTCCCAGTTCCCATCTAAAGCCCCATTCTGCATGAGAATTTGGTGTTTGGAATGTTTTCTGACTCTTGGAGCAGGGTTCCTCGCCTTATCGTCCTCACTGCAGGTATAATGAGGAGGGGAGGAGAATCTTCATCAAAAACTGGTTTTGTGTAGTAAACTTACTTTTGTGGGGGTTTTTTGTTTGCTGTTTTGGGGGGGGGTTCTTTTTCTTTTCTTTTTCTGTCTGTCTGTACAAGAACTGCAGCTGCTGAAATCAGCTTTGCCTTTAATTAAACCATGTTCTCTCCAACCATATCTGTGTTATTTATTTTCTACCCTAAAAAATGCAGTACTGAAGAAAGTCCAACTTAATTCAACTACTCACGAGTCATCCAGACAAAAGCAAAGATAATCATACTTGAATATGTTTGTTATTTTTTTATCCCTGTTCTACCTGTTAATGTCACAATTCTGAGATAATTTATCCTTTTGACCTATAAAATTCACTAAATCTGATAAATACCAATGATAATTTCTGTTCTTGACCTTGAAAAAAAGTTAGTTTTATATGAGTTTGTGTTCTGAGTGATCTTGAGGTAGCTTTTCTTCCATTACTGTCCCATGTCCTAAGTTTCTCACAGTAACTTGCTGGACCTTCAGCAGCATGCTGGCAGCCAGTGCTCACACTGACTGTCCTTTCACTGAGGTGTTGATTCAGTCACAGTTCATCTTCTTATTGTACTTTTCACAAGCACCTATACACTTGGAAAATTGTTAGGAAAGCTACACATATTCTGCAAGAAGGGAGGACAGAGGGAATTAAGGCCAGGTCCTAAGATCTAGTATTTATGGAATCCTTCATCCATATATTAACCCTATATATATATTTTATATATAGAACAAGTGTAAAGTAATAGATTACTACTAACCCACTGAGTTTCTGAAATAGCTTGTCATCACCTCACTTTTGTGGCATATGTTTAGTGCTGAACTCTAATAAAAGTCCCTCTGAGAAGGCATTAAGGAATGTACTTCTAGTATTTTAATTCTCTGTGGAATTGAATGTTGTATTCATGGAAGCCTAACTCTAGATTATGTTTAAGCAGTGAAACCTTTTAGCTAGGGAAAAAAAGTTAGTTTTATATGAGTTTGTGTTCTGAGTGATCTGTAGGGTTACCTGAAGCCTCAGGAGTCTATGATACTAGTCATATAGAAACAAGAGTATTTCCACTTAGCTTTGGGGCCTGGACTCTGGGCGTCTTATTTTATTTTTGTAGATAAGTTTTTTATTGAGCTATCACAATATACAGACACATGCACTGATTAAAAACTGCAGTTCATTGAATTTTCACAAAGTGAATACACGAAAACGGATTGGCAGCATTCTAGAGAACCTTCTCGTGCCCTTCCAGATGCTTCATCCGCTTCCTGCCTCTCTGTGCACCAGGAAATCTTTATCTTGACTTCTTACGTTATTGTCTAATAGATTGAATTTTAACAAGAAAGGTTAGTTAATACTTCCAAACTGGATGTCTCTGTGGTCCACAACACAAGTGTGTTAAATCTTGCAAACAAATAATGAAGCTTCCTTTTCTTCAAGTTTGTAGATTGTGAAACATCCTAGGTTGTACTAGGAGTGCTATCTGCATCTGCAGCTGCACATTCTTCAACAAAAGCTTTAGGGAAAATGCCAACTTTCCCTTTACATTCCCCTTCCAGCCATTCTTCATTTACTGATAAAATGAAAAATACACATTAATTACTAGAAGTTATAGGAAAATTACCCCATGTAGATATTCCATGGATATCTTTCTGTCAGTCATCCCCCACCCCAGATTGTGACAACAGGGAAGAGAAAGTTCTCTAAACTTAAAATAAATGTAAGATTTCGCCATCTTACTGATTTGTTTTTGATACTATGAAGGAATAAAATGCAGAATATAATTTTCGAAAAGTTACTACAACAATAGGATGAAATTGAATCTTTAGATACGATTTCTTAAGAGTGTTGTAATCGGAGTTTTGTTGGGAATTTTCATTTTAACAAGAAAGGGGGCAAGCCATTGTCTAATAAAAATGAAAAGTTCCCTTGTCATTGATCAGAGCATTAGAAGTTGGAGCTGGTAATGGCTTAGTACGTATTTGTTTTAAAAATTTTAGTAATTCCCACTTTGCATCTTTAATAGTGTGGAGATAATGTACTAAATATATGTATGAATACACACACACACACACACACACACATACACTCATACACTTAGATTTCATAATAACCCAATTACAACTGAAAAATGTGAATGTTTAAAATGTTTTAATTACAGTAAAAGACACATTGCCCTTAAACTCCTTTAAAATACTACTCCTTACTTCAAACACACTTAACCCATCATTCTTGCCACTTAAGAGCAATTCAGAAGTCCTCTTTCCTGGTGTCTTTAGTTGCATTATTACAGCTGTCTGCGTGTTCTCAATTGATTCAAAACTTTTACTTTTCACGGCCATTTTGACTTTGGAAAGAGCCAGGAGTTGCATGGTACCAGATAACTGAAAGGTGGGTGAAGGACGTGCTATATTTTTTTCAAGCTTACGTCCAATGGATGGCACTCGCAGTACCACTCACCACATATTTTTTAATCATACCTCAACACAAAAGAGGACTCCAGAACTGCTTCAGAAAGTGGCAAGAATGATTGGGTAAGTTTTCAAAGCTGGAGAGTGTGTTATGAGTGGGATTAATGGCAGTGTTTCTTTTACTGTAATAAGTATTTTTTGTTTAAACATACATTTTGGTCAGCCCTTCTAGTAATCTCCATCTTAATAAAGAAAAAGATCCAAGAGGTTAATCATTTGCTCAGAGCTATTCTCTTCTGCCAGTAAATACCAGATATCTTAGACCCATCTACCAGACTACATGAACAGCTTAGAAGTCCATTTCAGGGTGTAAGGTCCTGCCGCTGGAGATTCTGAAATTAGTGTTGAGTGTGGCTGGGCATCATCCAGCATGTCCCCTGGTAACTGTGATTATAAAGCAGTTTTCATTCTTAACAGTGAGTATGAACTTGAAGCATCTGGTCATATTAGAAATGCAAAATCTCAGACCCCATCCACACTTTAGTGTTTATTTTAAGAGGATCTCCAGGTGATTGATACGCACGTCAAAGGTGTATGTTGAATCCTGTTTCATGTTGAACTGACCAGTGAAATTCTGAAGTGTAAGGGTACTTCCTGCTTAAGCTTTGTGTGTGTCATAGGGGCACAGTGCCTTCTCAACCATCCCAGGAGGTTTTTCTTGTGTGTTCTCACATTTCTATCCCCTACCCACTCTCCACCCCCACAAAAATGGACAGTTTAGCAGATCCTTTGCTATTGACAGTTAGAAAATGGTCCTAGGAGGTCTTACCCCAATTCTTCCCATTGAGTTCCCGGTCTCCCTTGGAAAATACACTGCAGGCACTCTGCTTTGTTTCTCTACTCATTTTGAGTTTGTTCCTGTACATATTTGTATACTTTGTACCCCTTCAACTATGAAATACTACACTCTCTTAATCTGTTGGATTTTCTGTTACAATTAATAGATTTTCATTACTTTGTATTGCTGTTGCACAGCACTTTTGTCATATGAGCAAGGCTTTTTGTGATGGGAATCTATTATTCCCGGAAAAGAAATAAGACTATCAAACTATAAATTAGAACAGTGGTTTTCAGAGTAGAGTCAGACCATCATCACCTGGGAAGTGGTCAGAAGTGAGCCCCATCTCATGTGTGAACCAGAATCTCTGGGAAATGGGTCATGCAATTTGATTCAGCAACAGTTCTAGTGATTCTTAGGCATATGAGGTTTAAGAGTCACTAATTAGAATTCTATACTTACTGTTTCACTTTTTAATCTGTTGACTCATAACAACCCAGGAAGTTACTGAAATTCGGGGCAGTTATGAAGAGCTGCCCCAGCTCCCCACTTTTGAGAGAGAGGGTCTTATTTGCTAAATTGCCTCGATTGGGCCCAAACTTGCAACCCTCCTGCCTCAGTTTCCCACAGTGCTGGATTACAGGTATGTACTGCCATGACCAGTGAATGGATGCTTTTAAGACAAAATTTACCCATTTTTTCTCTCTTCTTTGGAAAGGGCACCAGGTCAGAGATACATGGTTTGTTGCATAGGCAAAATAATTCTAGCCAATTTGTCAACTCTTTAGAATGAAAAGCCAGTAGCTGAGCATGGTTCGAGACCAGCCTGGGCTACATAGTGAGTTCCAGGGCAACTTCAACTACATAGTGAGACCCTGTCTCAAAAAAAATAACAACAACAAAAAGCTGTTAGAATGAAAAGCCATGGTTTTCAAAGCAACCATCTTCAATAACCGAGGTGCTATCACAGTTATATACATAGTAATTACTTGCCTGCTTAGTAGAGCAAAAGACAAGGAATGGGTAAGCATTTTTGTTCCCTCCTGCTAAAAGCTGGAAAGAATATGGAAACCGCTGGCTAAAGTTTTGTTTGTGGGTTACTGGTGTTCTTTCTTCCTGTGACCTTGTTTCTGCTAAATGTGAGTTCTGTGACAGCACTTACCCTTTGATAGCACCAGGATTCCATCTCCTTCCAGAAACTCTAGGTCCTCTGGTTGGGTGGCCTCATAACTGAAGATTGCTACTACTCGGCTCCCTTCCTTAAACTGACATTCTTTGGTCTGTCTGTTAAAATCAGATTTTTCACTTTCCTTGGGTTCTTCTAGGAATCCTTGGTCACCCTGAAATAATAAAGGGCTTGTTAATTTTGCCATTTTCTTGGACTGTGAACACTGAACACCACTAAAGGAAATCATGAAATGTCAAGTATAAGCTCATGAAGACGAGTTTGTGATCAGTGCCTAGCATAGACCTAACAAGCATTTTAAGGATACTGGAAGGTTGGATGAGTGAAATCTAAAGGTCTGGAGAACCACATATAGTCTTGAAGTACCTTAAATGGGACCTTACTGTAGTCCTAAGAAAAGCAGAATGGGCATTATTCTTTACAAGTGGAGAATCAGTATGAGGCACAAGTGACAGCCAGTGGTCCAACTTGGGCTTCTTAGCACCAGTGTTAACCTGCTTTCCCCATCATCACTGTTAGGGCCCTTGTTAGAAATGAACATTTCCTTGCATTTCTCTATTCCAAACCTACTAAAAAAATAATAAGACCTTCCTAAGGGTGGAGCCCCGCAATCTATATTTGAAGACTGCTAGGTATTTCCTATATTTGCTAAAGCCTGAAAACCACTCCACAGTGCCATACTATCTAAGGCCATGAAAAAAGCTTGCCTTTTATCCATAAAAACACCTTTTTTACACATTTTAGGCATTGTGATCTTAGGCCTCAACATGTTAGAGCAGTTTTTGCTCCATAAATAGGAGGATGCAGTTTTTGGAGATTTGAATCATGGGGTTTAATAAATCAACTTTAGAAACCATGGTAGACTAAAATGCTGTGTTAAAATTTCCAGTTTCTTATACTGTGTGTTGAACCCTGGTTCATCCTTTTTACAAAAGGCTATACAGTAAGGTGGAAGTGACCTTCTGGGGTCCACATATCTAGGGCTTTATCCCAGTTCTGCCTACAGCTGTGTGTCCTAACAGTGTAACCTCAGAACTTCAGATCCTCACCTGAAGAAGACAGAGATTAAGTGAGATGGCAGGGAATAATAACTTTTATTGAACACCAATTCAAGTGTTCAACACTGACCCCTAAGCCTGAACGAGTTCCAAAAGGACTGGGAAATTTGGGGAATATTATGTATTTATAGCCACTAAATAAACCGACCTCAAAGGGAAAAATATTTTTAAAAAGCATTTTTAGGGGTTGAAGATTTAGCTCAGTGGTGCTGCTGCCTGTCTCATAAGCGCAAGGACCTGAGTTCGATCCCCGGTACCCCCCCAAAAAAAGTGTTTTTAGGTGAAATAAAGCAGTTAATTCTCTTCTAGGCAGATGTCCAAGTAAATGGATTTATTATCCATGCACTGGAGTACTATTTAGCAATTAAAAGAAATGGATTCCTGAAACCCAAAGGCTTTACAATATAATCCACTGGTATAAGGTTATATAAAAGGCAAAAGAATGTTGACAGAAAGCAGATACATAATTTTCAGGGGCCAGAGTTAGCGGAGGGAGTTAACAAAAAGACGTGGCAACTTTCCCCTGGAGCTGAAAGGAGAGATCAAGAGTGTTAGGGGACGAGGATTTGGCTCAGTTGTACCACTGCCCTCACAAACTCAAGATCCTGAGTTTGATCCCTGGTACTGCAAAAAAGAAACGTTACCTGTAGCTACCCCTTCTGTCATTTCACTTTGCTCCTGACTCGCATTGTTCTTTAAATTACACCAAGGGGGCTATAAATACAGGCAGGCTCTGGAGCCAAATGGCCTGTCATCTTGGTCAAGTTGCTTGCCCTCGGCCTTCTCAGCTGCAGGGATTATACCAGTCATATACAGAGCACACTGCACGGTGTCTGGCACTCGAGAACTCAGAAGATGCTTGCTATTAGGAGGAAGCTGTTAACATGGATCATCTCTGAAAGGAATGCTCACTATTTTTCACCTGCAAGTGTTCTTCATAGAAACTTAAGGTAAAGAACGGTAGTGAGCTCAGCCTCAAGCTGTGACCTCATCCTAGCCGTTGCTTGACAGTGATGAGCATGATACTGACCCATTCGGGCCTGGTGGCTAATGGAGCGGGCTCAAGGCTTCTGTGGGCCCCTGGGCCTGCTGGGCCCATTTTTATCCATGGGAAACTCCCAGCTACAGCTGGGGTGAGGATGCAGAGAAAAAAGAACAGCTGCAGCTTGTTACCCCCCATTGTCCCCAACACTAACCACAGTGCCTGGCACAGGGAGGTGCTCGATTGATGTTGAGCCATTTGTCAGCCCTGGGCTCAATGCACTCACCACTGTGTTCTCACACCAAAGAGTCAGGCAGTAGTTTTTTGCTTGGCCCCACGCATCCTGCATACTTTCTTCTGAAAGGGTCACCAGCTCATTGCTGTCCCGAGGAAGATAACTGCATGAGGGTAGTGAGCAAGAACCAAGTTAGAGACCATCAGTGCAAAAACCATCCCATCCTCTGGGCCAGCACAAGATCATAGATGTGCCCTTGACTGCTGCCTGCAAAGACCTCACCTCAGCTTAGTGTGTTCTGGCAGGAGCTCCAGTTTTTTGGACACCATATGCCGGACATGGCTATAAGGGAGCCCAGGCTGAGTCTCCATGACCACCGTGTACTTGTAATGCACCTTGAGTGTGTAGGACATGGGAATCTTGAGTTGTATTTCCTGAGAGGTAGAAGCAAGGGAAATTCCTAAGTGAGGCCTTCAGCAGCATCTTGGATGACTAAAGCTTGTGTTAGCATAAGAGTAGCCAGTGTAGCAGGAGAGAGGCCAAGAAGTGACTGGTTTCACATGTACCCTGAAAGGCCTGTGGAAATCCTCCAGCCCAACTCCCGCTTGGATGGATACTCTGCTGGGCAAGATTCGCCAGACTGTATATGGGCAATGGGAACTGTGTGCGTGGCATGCGAAAGTGGTGAGGGGACCGTAGCCCACAGACTGTGCAAGGTGGAGCTGGTTCAGCACTTCCAGTGGGACACTAAGCCTGACAGGCGCGCCATGGTAGACAACCCAGACTCTTCCGTCTTCTCACTTGAAAAATTAAAGGAAATATTTACCTTGGGCTCTTCTTTTTGTTTCTGGCCTAAATAGAAAACGTAGGGAGTAAAAGAAAAGAAAGTGGTGAATGAACAGTCTTAGCCAGCCCCTGCCTTGCATAGAATGGGGTCTCTTAGAGCATAGGACCCAGCTTTTTAGTCTTTCATCTCTGGGGTGGTTGTTAACCTTAGTAACTTACAGGGAACATCTCACTCTGGGGAAATATGAAGGTCACGAATACATGAATAAAGCCAGTCTCTGCTTCTGGGAAGCCAGTAGGTAATGACTGAAGGACTAGCAGTACCTCCTTACCAACCCAGGGGGTTAGCCAGACCCCCAGATCACTTAAACTTGTATAATCCGAGCAATGAAAAGCAGGAAATATGAGATGAGCCACAGGCCACTGGAAGAAGTATTAGAACCATTTATCTTTTACCTCAATGTGTATAATTTATTAATACAGTAATATGCACATAACTTATGTGACAAAAGCATAAATATATTTCCTATAGGGGCAAATGATTTTTTAAAACAACCACTTATCTCAAACTCTGATAACTAGAATAACCTAAGAAATTTTTGCTAAAAATACAAATTCCCAAACCCTATCCCTCCCTGAACACAAAAAAAGTGAGAATCAAAGGCCAAAGAATCTGTGTCCTAAAATCTTTCTCTGTTAATATGTGACCTTTGGGGGCTGGCTTTTAGCTCATTGGTCCACTGCCTGCCTCACAAACACAAGGTCCCGAGTTCAATCCCCAGTACCAAAAAAAAAAAAAAAAAAAAACTTTT